CACTAGCCGAATCAGATGGATGTGATGCTTACTGCAAAGCTTGTCACTGAATTATCAAATTTACAGTTCACTCCATCAACTGAAGAGGAAATGAGAGCATTGGATCATATTACTTACTTACGCCTGTTACCCCCAATGAAGCATAGGCCGCCCACCAGTTTTCTCCAACCAACTCTGTCCTGGGCTTCCCTCTCCAGTTCTGTCCAATGTTTGTTCATTCTTCTCATATCTTTCTCTATTTCTCGGCGTAATGTGTTCCTTGGCCTTCCTCTTTTCCTTTTGCCTTGAGGGTTCCATGTGAGGGCTTGTCTCAAGACGCAGTTAGGTGCTTTCCACAATGTGTGTCCTATCCACTTCCACCGCTTCTTCCTGATTTCCTCCTCCATTGGAATCTGGTTTGTTTTCTCCCACAGTACGTTGTTGCTGATGGTGTCTGGCCAACAAATACGAAGTATTTTGCGTAGACAACTGTTAATAAACACTTGTATCTTCTGGATGATGCCTTTCGTAGTTCTCCAAGTTTCCGCTCCATACAGTAGAACCGTCTTGACATTTGTATTGAAAATCCTGATTTTGGTTTTGTTTGAAAGTTGTTTGGAGTTCCAGATATTTTTCAACTGTAGAAATGCAGCCCTCGCTTTGCCAATCCGCGCCCTCACATCTGCATCCGATCCACCTTGATTGTCGATGTTGCTGCCAAGATATGTAAAGGTGTTAATGTCCTCCAAGGCATCTCCATCAAGAGTGATTTGGTTGGTGTATGTTGTGTGGCACCGGGAAATTTTTCTTTTTCTTTTTTGTATGTTGAGACCTACTGCTGCAGAGGCTGCTGCTACACTGGTCGTCTTCTCTTGCATTTGTTGTTGCGTGTGCGATAGAAGAGCCAGATCATCTGCAAAGTCCAGATCGTCCAGCTGCGTCCTAACTGTCCAGTTGATACCGTGCTTCCCTCCAGACGTCGACGTTTTCATAATCCAGTCGATGACCAGGAGAAAGAGAAAGGGTGACAGTGAGCAACCTTGCCTGACACTGGTCTTCACCTCGAAAGAGTCCGGTAGCTGTCCTTCGTGTAAGATTTTGCAGTTGAATCCATCATAAGAATTCCGTATGATGTTGACTATCTTCTCAGACACACCGTAGTGTCGAAGAAGCCTCCACAGTGTTTTTCTGTCCTCGCTATCAAATGCTTTCTCGTAGTCGATGAAGTTGATGTACAGTGGTGAGTTCCATTCAATTGATTGTTCCACAATGATCCGTAATGTAGCAATTTGGTCAGTACACGATCGATCCTTACGAAATCCGGCCTGTTGATCTCGAAGTTGGGCGTCTACGAAGTCCTTCATTCTGTTTAACAATACCCTGTTGAAGATTTTACCTGGTATTGAAAGAAGAGTGATGCCTCTGTAGTTCTCACACTTGCTGAGATCGCCTTTCTTTGGTATTTTGATCAGATATCCTTCTTTCCAATCTGATGGTACTTGTTCCTCATCCCAAATCTTCTTGAAGAGAATCTGCAATATTTTCACAGTTGCTTCTACATCTGCTTACATTGCCTCTGCTGGAATGTTGTCTGGTCCTGCTGGTTTGCCGCTCTTGATTTGTCTGATGGCTATACTGATCTCCTCAATCGTAGGTGCGCCAATATTAATTGGGAGGTCCGTGGATGTTGCTTCGATGTTGGGTGGGTTCAGTGGAGCTGATCGATTCAGGAGTTCCTTAAAGTGCTCTACCCACCTATGTCGCTGTTCTTCAGTGTTGCTGATTACTTTCCCTTCCTTACTTTTCACTGGTCGTTCTGGTTTACGATAGTTTCCGGCCAGCTTCTTTGTTGTTTCGTACAATTGTCTCATGTTTCCTTCTCGTGCAGCCTTTTCCGCTGTCATTGCTAGATAATCCACATATTTTCGTCTGTCAGCTTTGATGCGCTTCTTCACTTTCCTGTTTGCTTCCGTGTATTCAGCTTGTGCCTTAACTTTCTCTGCTCTTGTTCGGCTGACATTCACTGCTGCCTTCTTGTTCCTCCTTTCTTCAATTTTTTCAAGAGTACCAACAGAGATCCAATCCTTGTGATGGTGCTTATTGCGACCAAGGACCTCCTGACATGTTGAAGTGATTGCCTCCTTAATCTCTTTCCAATTGTTCTCCAATGTTGTGTCCTCTCCATTGAGTAGATCCTGAAAGGCCTGGAACCTATTGGTGAGGGCTATCTTGAATTCATTGGATCATATCTTCAACATTAAAATTAAAGAAATAGGTGTAGCATTTATCGAAAACAACATTTTACTTTCGTTCCAATGCCACACAGTCCTATATTAGAAAACATTAACCTAAGTCTTACCATATCTTGTCACATTATTAACAAACATATCAGAGGACTAACTTCATACAATTACTAATTAATATTCAAGTGAAGAATTCAGTGAATGATGTATGGCTCTCGACGGGATCATAAGGAAAGCATATTCAGTATGCATATGTTCATGCATATATTCAGTATGAATAATTTTCATTATTCGTCCACTTCAATGAGCAGAAAGGAGATATTTAAAATACATTAATTTTCATATCGTTTAATAGCAGATTTTACTGCATATTACTAATTTTCTTAATTAACTGCTAATTTACCTACGACTGTAATTTACCTTCAGATTTCTGTTTACAATTATAAATCCAACCTCTCGACTTTGGATGAAAGTTTGGGGAAAACACCATTAAATGTTTTGGTCTTACGGCTATGAACCCTGATATTTACTTTGATCTGTTTTCAAAAATTTAAAATTTTTTTAAGGAAAACCTGTTGAGCTTCATTAAGAAATCGCCAGAGTTCCTACTGTGCATAAACCTTTCTTCTTATTTGCATTAAAAACTGCGTCAGTTCGTAATCTTTACATCATACAAAATCTATTCACCTATTATTTGGCACATGAACATGTATAGTCATGATAACAAAGTAGTCTTATATTATAAAAATTTTTAATATCTTGCGTTAAAGTTATAAATCTAAATAGAGGGTTGAGAATTGGGTTGTGAACCTCAGGCTAGGCATATTCTCACCACCACATATACTCTTCACAGATTAACGTGAGATCATCTTACAGGAAACTATGCACGGTGAAATTTATATTTGAATGTGGGCTATATGAAGAAAAAAATCTTCTTTAAATAGTTACGTTTTTATTTTTGTTCGACATTGAATAAACTGTGATCAAAGGTTTATATGCTGTCTTTCGAGTATCGCTACCTGGTCCTATATTGGAGAGCGATTTTGCAAGTCAAGTGCATTGCTGGTTCTATGTATAGATATTCGCAACAGCAAATATGCTTGTGTACAAAACAATAGGTGGGTACATTTTGCATGATGTAAAGTTTCCAAAATGACGCACCTGATTATTTCGATGACTGAAGGAGCTAAAACTTTGGAAGAATAAAAACAACCATAAGCATCTGTTTTCAGTCTTTTACTCACGCATATAATGTAAGGTCGACCTAATATGATTTATTGGCCGCCTACTTAACCGTAAGCTTATATAGCTTTTTGTCTAGATTGAAAGCATCTTATGTGCTAGGACAGTATGAGGTGCAGTATGCGACAGATTGGAAAAGAAAACACGTTCTGAATTGTAACACGTGTAACCAGCAGTCGCTGAAGGGCGGATAGGATCGAAAATCACAATACACAAGGTTAGTTTAACACCTCACACCAAGAGAGAACACAAAGTGGTTGCCACGGCACTCTTTTATTTGAAAATTAAAATACTCAGGGATTGTACAGAAAAGGGTGGCTAGTTTACCAAAGTCTTATGAGTCATCCTGTAAGTTCAGAGCACTCAGGGCTTGTTCTTCAGCTTCCAAAGCGTTTATGTTTGATCGATTGATTGATAGAAAGAAAACAGAACGGGTTAGCAACATCATACATTGTGATTTCGACACCGTTACACCGGTTTACTCATTCCACGCGCCATTACATGGATATCATGGTACGACTAAAGTGGTACACTTTTACGAAGAAAACACAATCGCTGAAATTTAAACATTTATTATTGTACTTAATTCTGACAATAATTTATATATTGTACACCTCTTGTTCAACTGTAACGAAGACGCGCGCCAAGCGTGTTATTCTCATTCTCCTCTTCGCACGTCTCCTACGTGAACGTAAGCCGTTATTACGCAGTCTGGCCTCGAAATTAGTTCGATATTAGGAGGCTAGCATTGAATATACTCCTTCCTCCTAGAATCGCCTTTTTGTTTGATTCCTAGAGTAACGGGATTAATATTTATTATCCTGCGAAGTAGTCTTTTTTTCGATTCACTACATAGGTGAGCAACAGTTTCGAATACGCAGTAAATTCGGTGAGTCTG